TATAAGAGAATAATGAAATTCTGGTAGTCGTTTATAAATGATAGGTCATGTGTTGGTTACTTATGATTTTCTAGTGTTTTTGTTGTCAATATGTAATGGCGTCTTCAATGAAAAAAAATTGTTTATCAATTAATTTAATCAAAATGCTTTGAATTTTTGCACATTTTTTTATAGAATGATTCAATGTTTCAATGTAAAATTGAACATTGAGCAGTATGAAAATTCATAAAATAATTTAAATCTTCTTGGTTGTTTGATTTGAATCGTGAGGTATTCGCATCAACAGTGCAGAAGTTGTAAAAGAACGTGAACTTTTGTAATATTGGACGCTTGTTACTCGATATCGTTTATTGTCTAAGACCAGAATGGTATTGTGGTGCGTGCTACTTATAAGTAGTATATGACGCGAGTGAAAACGTAATGTCTGGCAGCAGAAGATGGGGGCAGATCAAGAAAGGAAGAGTTGGAACACAATGGAATTTGTATGAAACGCATGAATAAGTGAAATGTCAGACAATGGATTGATGATGGATTGAAGATTTGCAAATGAACGATTTACGATATGGTTTTCCTATTTTACTGAGTAACTCTGTAATTTTCGTTAAATACAATTCGGTTGCCCTCACCTGTGTTCTCCTTCACTACAGTATTACTGGAAACCAACCAAGTTGTTTTACTAACTGATCGTTCACCACGATGTCTACTGGTCCTGGATTGGATACTTAATAGGATTTGGATCAATTACTGATGAAGTGTACTATGATGCTTAAATAAAGCAGACGTCCAATGATTGATTTCCTTTTACCATTGTCTCAATTTCAAATGATTTTTGATGAATGCAACTTACAAATATCTTAACTTTTTACTTTTGCTCAATAAATGTTTCGAAAACTATCGATCATAACTACAAAACTATGGTCGTACTATTAAACTTACATAGAAGTGAAATAAGTCAGTCGCAATCAAGTGGAATGTTAATGAAAGTGATTGACTAACTTTTAAATGAATACAAATTTTGATAAGATCTGAGGAAAACATAAATTTAGGTCAATTACCAAAAACTATTTCACGATCAATTAAACACAAACTTTTTAAAAGGAAAATTTTAAATCAATTTACCCAGCAAATTGTTGGATTTAATTAAACTGTTCAATCACTGACATTTGCTTAAACATAGTTTTCCTCTTTAATGCCTTAGATTAAATCGGTGCCTAACTTAAATACTTCACAACTTTTCATTATAGAGTTGTGGACGGGCGGTGTTCAACCGTGTTGAGTGTGAGGCATCTATCCACCGTTGGATGCTTGCTCATTGATCTAGAAGTTAAGAGTTCGCATGTGAGGTCGAAGGTCTTGGGTTCGATTCCTGTGAGTAGAGAGAATCAGAGAAGATCACTACTGATGAGTTCCATAGTAGGACGAAACAGCTGTCCTTCAGTTCTTCCAGGTTTTTAATGGTGGTCTAACATTCATCGATTTATAATTTCAATAATTTTGTGAAAGTATTCGATGAGTTCGTGTTAATTTGCAGATACATTTTCAACACCTCAACAATTCATAATAAATCACTAATATTTTGATTATTATTATTCTCCAATCTATTAAATACTGACAAGCAGTTCTAGTGGAAATGTGCTTCTATGTTAGTTATAATTAAAAAAGCCCAATGGTCCTGAGGTTAGGCGTTCGCAAACAAGACCTAGGATCCTGTGTTCGAATCCCAAGAGTAGCAAGAGTCCTGGATGCCCACTGCCACTGATGAGTCCTATACCAGGACGAAACCCCCGTCTCTCAGTGCTTCCAAGTTCCGAATGGTATTAGTCTAAAAATTATTGATTTACATGGTTTCAGTCATAAACAACAATCTCCATAACTGTCTAATGAAAAATTTCAAATAATCATCGTAAATTCTACTAACTTACATAGTAACTTACTTACGCCTGTCACCCCCAATAGAGCATAGGCCGCCCACCAGTTTTCTCCAACCAACTCTGTCCTGGGCTTCCCTCTCCAGTTCTGTCCAATTTTTGTTCATTCTTCTCATATCTTTCTCTATTTCTCGGCGTAATGTATTCTTTGGCATTCCGCTTTTCCTTTTGCCTTGAGGGTTCCATGTGAGGGCTTGTCTAGTGACGCAGTTAGGTGCTTTCCGCAATGTGTGTCCTATCCACTTCCACCTCTTCTTCCTGATTTCCTCCTCCACTGGAATCTGGTTTGTTCTCTCCCACAGTTCGTTGTTGCTGATGGTGTCTGGCCAACGAATCCGAAGTATTTTGCGTAGACAACTGTTAATAAACACTTGTATCTTCTGGATGATGCCTTTCGTAGTTCTCCATGTTTCCGCTCCATACATTAAAACTGTCTTGACATTTGTATTGAAAATCCTAATTTTGGTTTTGGTTGAAAGTTGTTTGGAGTTGCAGATATTTTCCAACTGTAGAAATGCAGCCCTTGCTTTGCCAATCCGCGCCCTCACATCTGCATCCGATCCACCTTTCTCATCGATGATGCTGCCCAGATATGTAAAGTTGTTAATGTCCTCCAAGGCATCTCCATCAAGAGTGATTTGGTTGGTGCATGTTGTGTTGCATCGGAGAATTTCGCTTTTTCCTTCATGTATGTTGAGACCTACTGCTGCAGAGGCTGCTGCTACACTGGTCGTCTTCTCTTGTATTTGTTGTTGCGTGTGCGATAGAAGAGCCAGGTCATCTGAAATGTCCAGATCGTCCAGCTGCATCCCAACTGTCCAGTTGATACCGTGCTCCCCTCCAGATGTTGACGTCTTCATAATCCAGTCGATGACCAGGAGAAAGAGAAAGGGTGAGAGTAAGCAACGTTGCCTGACACCGGTCTTCACCTCGAAAGAGTCTGTCAGCTGTCTTCCGTGCACGATTTTGCAGTTGAATCCATCATAAGAATTCCGTATGATGTTAACTATTTTCTCACGCACACTGTAGTGTCGGAGAAGCCTCCACAGTGTTTTCATATCCAACAGAGATCGTTTCCTTGTGATGGTGCTTCTTGTGACCCAGAACCTCCTGACATGTTGAAGTGATTGCCTCATTGATCCCTTTGCAATTGTTCACCAAGGTAGTTTCCTCTCCATTGAGTAGATCCTCAAAGGCCTGAAACTTATTGCTGAGGGTTATCTTGAATTCGTTAAGTTTTACGGTATCCCAAAGAAAGGTCGTATTAAACTTGTTTGATGTTGCCTTCCACGCTGTCCAGTGCCTCTTTAGTTTCAGTTTCTTTTGGCGATCTGCAAGTGGTAATCTGAGGCTATATCAGCTCCTCTCCTGGTTCTCACATCATCCATTGTCCTTCTGAACGTTTTGTTGATACAGATATGGTCAATTTGGTTTTGAGTAGTGTGATCCAGTGAAATCCATGTAGCTTTATGTATGCGCTTGTGTGAGAATATTGTGCCACCGATGACCAGTTTGTTGAAGGCACATAGGTTTGCAAATCTCTCACCATTTTCGTTCCTTTCTCCCAGTCCATGTCGTCCCATGATGTCTTCATATCCAGTGTTGTCCATTCCAACCTTGGCATTCAGGTCTCCCATAAGAATCGTCAAATCCTTTGGTGAGCATCTGTCAACGGTTGACTATAGTGTTCCGTAGAATTGATCTTTAACGTCGTCATTGTAGTCATTGGTAGGTGCATAACATTGGATGACGTTCATTGTAATATCCTCTTTCTTTGTTTTGAAGGATGCTTTACTGATCCTGGGTCCATGAGATTCCCATCCTATCAGTGCCTTTTGTGCATGTTTGGACAGCATCAGTGCAACTCCTTGTGTATGTGAAGCGTTTTCCTCTTCATGACCAGAGTATAACAGCAGTTCCCCTGAAGCTAGTCTCAGTTGTCCTACCTGTGTCCAATGCGTTTCACTGATGCCGAGCACCTCGAGGTTGTATCGTTTCATTTCTGCCGCAACTTGAAATAGTCTTCCAGTCTCCCACAATGTACGAACGTTCCATGTACCTAAAAAAATGGTTGCTCTGGTTGTCAGAAGAGGCATCAGCCCCGTGACTTCCGAGGGAACTCGGCTTTCATCACGAGACGTCATAATTCTTCTTCCAACTCCCAGGGCAGAGTTAAAATGGTTTGAATTATTTTTTCTGGTTAGCGTTTTTTTGGCAAGTGAGATTTCAACGGAATGGGGTCGCCAACCCCATGTCCAACCCTCCTCCTTTATCCGGGCTTGGGACCGGCAGTAGCCCCTAAGGTTCTACAGGCGGAGTTACTAACTAACTAACTAACTACTTTCATCTTAATCGTCAAAGACAATTATTGATTTTTCTAAAATAGTGAAGAGACTTAAATTCTGTTGATTTAATCTGAGAGCCAATTTCTTCTTCTGATTCTCTATTCTTGCATCCATTATGTACTTGAGTGCACTACACACACACACACACTCAACTCAGCATCAACTGATCGATCGGTTTATCGAATTGCTGAACAGTTCTATTATTATTGTTATTATTATTATTACCAATGAACACGTGATTATTGGAAAGTATTTAACACTCTTTCTTTAAAAGTAATATAAGCAGGAATTTCAATTGAGAGAAAGAGAGAGAGAGAGAGTAGGAGTTATGTGAAAGACACAATTTCAATCTGTTCATATTTGATGACTATATATGTTGTATACACTCACTATGTATGTAAAAAAGTTTACACAACCATTACATCATTCATTACACATATAACATTGATAGATCAATCTACACTTATATTTATATATATATATACATGTATACTGACACTCAATTATAGTAAGTAATACATACATACATATATATGAGTAGGTCTATTTGAACATCATATTTGTCATGATGATTTTATGAGAGAGTAGTTTAAGGAATTAGTTTTTTGTTTTACTTTGAAACAGATTGAAACAGATCTGAAATGAAACGATAAAGATTCATTACTTTTAATGGAAATATTATTATTGAGAGTGGATTAAAATTATTATTGTTATTATTATCATTGAAATGTCGTTAACATTGGATTTAAAATATTTAGTTGGTTTAACTGGGAAAGGTGATCGTCGAATTAAAGCTTTATTTCGAGGTAAGTGTGTTTACTGATTTGATATGAGGTTTTATGATTTTAATTTAATGTAATCATGAATCATTCATTGTTAGACCATTGTTAGAAACTTGAGAGGACTGAAACATGGCTGTTTCGTCCTAGTATGGGACTCGTCTGCAGTACGCGTTCACGACACTCGCTTCTCACAGAAATCGAACCCAAGAGCTTTGATGTTGTGCGTGAACGCCTAACCTATGAATCACTGAGCCGGCATCCAACAGTGTTAATGTCTAACTTTGATCAGTCTAGGGATTTTCGAACAACTTCACCTTATTGTTTTCTGTAGTTACTGATTATATCCGATAGGGTTTAGTTCTACTGGTCACATCTTCTCACTAGAACTCCATGGAATTTTTTACGAAGCTAGTCACAAGTGATAACTTATGTTATATCTAGTGTAGGCATAAGTAATTTCAGGAAAACCATTCGGAGTTTCTGAGAGGTTTTATTAATAGGAAAAAAATAGAAAATTAACATTGACAGAATAAACCTCGGTTACTTTGGCTAGTTGTTTTTATTCTTGTTTGAGACTTTTAAGAATTATGTACTTATTGAAGGTATTTTGGGGTACAGTTTTGGAGGTTTGCGTTTTTACACATTTGAAATCATCAATCAATCATTGTTAGACCACCATTAGAAACCTAGAAGCACTGGACGGCCGTTTCGTCCTGGTATGGGACTCATCAGCAGTGCGCATCCACGACTCCTGCTCCTCGTAGGATTCGAACCCGGGACCTTTGGCATTGTAGGCGAACGCCTTACCACCGGACCACTGGGCCGGCATCCAACGGTGTTAATGTCTAACTCTGATTGGATGTGCACTGCTGATGAGTCCCATACCAGGACGAAACGGCCGTCCAGTGCTTCTAGGTTTCTAATGGTGGTCTAACAATGATTGATTGATGATTTCAAATGTGTAAAAACGCAAACCTCCAAAACTGTACCCCAAAATACCTTCAATAAGTACATAATTCTTAAAAGTCTCAAACAAGAATAAAAACAACTAGCCAAAGTAACCGAGGTTTATTCTGTCAATGTTAATTTTCTATTTTTTTCCTATTAATAAAACCTCTAACAATGATGAATTGTTGACTTCAAATGAAGGTATTTTGTTTAACTTTGTATGCGATACTGAAGGATTGTAGTTGTGAAAATCACTTAAGCTAATATTCAGATGATAGGGACAAATGAATAAAGGGGATACTACCCCTAACTTAGGTCTCATATAATTAAAAAATGAAAATTTCACTAATGCGAAAAAAATCATCATCCGACATGTGACGAAGGGTAATAAGAGTGTTTGAGACCATATGCATCAAGCTGGACTGCATCTCTTACTATCCTATGCCATAAAATGTACATGTAGCTGAAGGTTTCTTATGAGACTAAAAGTTTGCTGTGAACATTGTGGATGGTTTGGCATTACTCTGATGAGTTTTGCTAATAGTCCATATACAGATTCGGTTAGAAGGGTGACCGATTTCATTGACTTGCAACATTCCTGAGGGCCATTATCAGTGGGTTGTTGCATTGTATATCACTATTGCTAATAATAATGAGTTTGACAGTCATATAACCGAGATGGATCAAATTAGCTTGTTCATGCTGTGCATACTGATCAACGCGATTATGAATCGGGAACAATAACTATGTACGTACTAGTGTATATCAATAGTGTGAATGGTCCACCAGGGTGTCAGGTACCTGTGTGATTGCGCCACAGGACTGAGCTGTGTACTGTACACGTTGTGATTGGTTATCCTGAAAACCAATATACGTTTATACTTGCCAACTGAGGGTGAGGTTGCATAATCCAATTGAGAAAACAATCAATGTTGGTTGTTTTTGTGATCTACACTTCCTATCCTTGATTGATTACTCTACTGCTTCTTGTTTTAAACAAACGCACAACTCGATCATATTATTTCGGATATAAACCGTAAAATTTACTCTCACTGTAAATATTTATGACTTCATTTAGCTAACAATTAGTTTTAAAGTTTTGAAATCAGTTCATTTCAATTTTTGAAATTAATCATTTGAAGAAATTATCGATGAAAACACTTTAATTATTGAACCATTCAAACAACAGCGTATTGTTCTTTTCAATGATGAATTCGATGAAAAAACGCACTTAACCTTAATTTGAGTTAATTTTGTGAAAGAAAAATAGTGATATATCAGTTCCCTAATGCGAGAGAGAGAGAGTTCTATCGTTTTATTGTGTAAGAGAATCTTAAGTTGTTTTGGTAGTGTGGAGTTGAATAGTTTGTTTATAAATGATGTCATTGTTGTTTCGAATAACATTCAAGTCAGTCAGTCAGTCAGATGCAACGTAGAACTTCGTACGTTAGTACATCAGTTCATGTCGCCATACCACATCAGCACAGAGATGTAATTGTCAATTCAAATCCAATAGCAGAAGAGGTAGTAAAGGTATTAGAATTAATCGGAGAGGTTAGGATTAGAAGATATTATTCAAGAAGTATGATTCAGTGGGAAAAGTTAACAAAGTTGAAGAATCCAGAAGATTGGGATTTGAGAGAGCATAACGAATGGATGCACTTGCGCCATTGCAAACGATTTTGAGCCATGTCGTTCAAGGTCTCTTACCATTGGTGACTTTCGTCAAGGTAGCAGCTACGGTCGGGATAACATTCAAGTGTATTCTATGAATCTCCTTCATTTTCATCAGCAAACCTAATTACAGTCTTGAGTGAATTATCTTCACGAAAAAATATTACTGAAATTTTTTACGATGATATTATGCCTCTTACACTTGAGCTATGCTTTCCTATTAATACTTTTGATGTCAGGCCTTCAATTTCCTACGAAATATGTTCTTTGTTCTACCTCTTTTCGTTTGGTATTAAGGATTCCAAGTGAGGGCTTGTCTTGTGACACAGTAGAATGATTTCTTCAATGTGTTTCTGTTACGCTCGCCTCTAGGTATGCTTAAACTATTACGAGTTCACCTTAGTCGAATAACGAGGTCAAAACAATGAACCAGCGTCCAGGTAGGCTACTGTGATCCCTTGACCAAATTGAATCAGTAAGAAGTCTTGGTATAGTGTAGAAATTGTATTCTACAAACACCCAGCCAGCACACACAATGAATCCAAGCACTCAAATCGCGTTTATTTATACTCCATAGAGATGTCCTTGGGACAGTCACAAAAATAGCACACTAAAATGACACAGTAATCAATCACAGCCAAGGATTTTCCTGGTGGGAAATGTGATCTCAAGGTCAACTGATCGGTCCATAAAATAAATCCAAAATAAAGATATTTATCAAGCGAGTTCTGGGGATCTAGCATCCCCAAAAGTTTCCTATCCAGTTCCGAAGCTTTTTCCTTGTTTCCTCTTCAGCTTTGAAACTGGTTCTCACTCAGCAACAGTAGGTTGTTATTGATGGTGTTTGGTCGACCGACAGACATTATCTTGAATAGAAAACTGTCTATAAACACCGGTATCATGTGGATGGTGGTTTTCGTAGTTCTCCAAGTTTCTGCCTCATACAATAGAGCTGTCTTGATATTTGTCTTGAAAATTGTGACTTTAGTGTTGGTTGGCAGTTGTTTTGTGTTGTAGAAATTCTCCCATTAGAGAAATGCTGACCTTGCTTTACTAATCCGTCCATTCGCATCTACATCAGATCCACCTTGCATATCAGTGATGTTGTCCAATTATGTGAACATTTCTACCTTTTTCAGTCAATCTCCCTCAAGTATGTTGTGTCATATCAAATAATTTCACTTATTTTTCCTTTATGTACTTTGAGGGCTTACTGCCACAAAGTTTACTGCTACATTAAGTTCAGTAACTCACATCCATACACATTGATCACTTTTTTTTATAACTGACTTTCAATCAGCAATTGAAATTCTCAAGAAATTGTTCTGATTAGTGATTCACAATAGACTAAATACATTGAAATGTTACTTAACCATCTTTCAAATGCTATCGTTCATTCAGCTTATTGAAGAATGTTTAAACTTGTTGATATTAGATAACGATAGCTGTTTTAAGTGTATGTGTGTGTGTGTGTAGTGAACTGATTTTCATGAGTTCTTTTTTTTAAAATGAAAGTTTCCATCTTAAAGATGGATTCATCAATTGAAAGTGACCTAAGACAAGAGGTGAGGTTGTGCGAAATCCATAGATCGATCAGAGTTAGACATTAACATCGTTGCATGTCAGGCTCAGTGATCCGGAGGTTAAGTGTTTGCGCACGAGACCAAGGGTCCTGGTTGTGGAAGTCGTAGATACGCACTGCTGATCAGTCTGATACTAGGAAGAAATGGCTGTCTTTTAGTGCTTCCAAGTTTCTAATGATAGTCTAACAATGATAATTTCAAGGTAAAATTGTGAATTACTTGTGAATGGTCATTTGCCATGGAATGACTAGTTGAATATCATATTTTTCTATTTAAACTGTTCTAATTAGCTCGGTATATACATCGCTTCTGTTGTCACTCCTTTTTTTTATGTACTCTATAAACCCATTCTGAAGTATTTTGGTCCAATCAAAGTTGATCTTGTGTTTTAGTTTTTAACCCATGTAACATTGTTGCTGATTTATTCATCAATTTCTTGTGATCAACTGAAGTTTTGAGGACATGTTTCTAATGTTGTTTGTGTTCTTTCAAGCTCATATACAACTGTCTAGAAGTTTGGCCCAAATAAATTGCATTGTAATCTTGAGAGCTGATCTCATAGACACCATTCTATTGTTCATTTTTTGAAAGTTTCATTTTGACTTTCATTAACGCCAACCTTATGATATCACTGGCACTAAAATATATAGCTTACGTATGTTTAAACTCCTCTTAATTTCTTCCGAATCAGTGACAGTGCGCATCTACAAACTCTGCTAACAGGAATCCAATCCCTCTAGAGGGGAGTTGGAAAACCCTAATTCCAAATCACTTATCCATATTAGCCTTCAGTATGCCGAGAGAAGAAGGATGGCAGAT